AATGCAATCTGGGATTGCATTCCGACTGGTGAATATATATGCGAGTTGGTTTTCTGAATAGTTTGCAAACCCTCCTAGGGGATTGGAAACTTCTAAAGCCAAAACACAGCGTAGTGGATTGGGATGTCATAACCGAAGATTCTACAGCCAGTTGATGGAAGAATTTCAATGTTATGTTGCTCACAGCAACACACGTTAACTTATGACATCTTATTCCACTACGTTCTGACCTGAATAAAAGTTTCTATACTATACATGGTGCTACAGTTGATGGCAGAATTTCTTGAAAATGTTGCTCACAGCAACACACGTTAACTTATGACATCTTATTCCACTACGTTCTGACCTGAATAAAAGTTTCTATACTATATACCACATGGTGCTCTTACATTTTAATAATGTATGGGCCAATTTTGACGTGCATCTTTTAATCTTAGGTTTGATTTGAATTTTCGGATGCGTTGGAATTCACATACCTCACCGAAGAGTGGAGAGCAACTCAGAGGAATCATTCACTTAATCTCTGAATGAAAAAGCTGACTAAAGACTGGATGGCCAGGTAGTGTGATAAATGGGGGGAATGTTGCCCATATATTTCAAAAACTGAGCAGTACAGCACGTAGAGTCTGCCGTTTATTTGTCAGAAGTGGCTCAAGATGGCCTATAATTAAAGTTACGAGTTCCGAATCAGTGCAGCGCCAAATCGCACTCAAACTAGTTGCCTACTTTGAGCCAAAAAACAAGTCGCACTTGATTTTGAGTATAATTTTTGAATGAAAGGTAAAATATCACGCCATTTTCTTAGCTTACCTCGGGCTTGCAGAATTTGACCACAGTGTTCATGTGCAAGAGCAAGCTTCAATCCATCATCGTCTTTGATCATCTTGGCGGCTTCAAGCGCATGTTTGAAAAAGTGTTCTGAAAGCCATTGATCGTCTGAATTTTGAAGAAATGATAATCCGAGTAGTAGGCACATAGTGAACACCGTGTGAGCATCACCCCTCCGAGAAGCAGCTTCGGCCTCTGTTAGATGATGTGCCACTAATCGCATTTTGTCGGATTGCTCGGACAAAGGTGGGATGTACCATAATGCTGATTCCGGACCTGCGTCGCTTCTTTCCTCATTTTGCGCTTGATATATCGAGAACATTTCTGAGAACGCGTAGTGATAACCATTTTCCAAGAGTTCATGACAGAGTAGTTCAAAGAATGGCAACCGAACCCTGCACGTATGAAAAAGACAAAAGACAGTTATGCGTAGGATTGCTCCATCATTTGTTTGCGCTAACTGCAAGATCTGGCATATTTTTGGAGAAGTTGCACTTTCGGCTTATCCAACTCATCTTAAACTAGACCTATATAGTAGCTGTATTGAATTGTGCAAAAATGGAGACAATTGTTATAATTTGTTTTAGCTCGAATTTGGCTGATAACTGGTTGAAAATAGAATAAATTGCTTATATAGTATGTAGTTGATGGGGCGTTACAGCACTGTTAAATTCGCTTTTGTTGAAGTAAGTTCAGTTCCTCTTCTCATGGAACCTCGTGTGGTCTCACCACTTATCTCCCCGACTTTGCTGAAATACCTGTTTGAACAATTGATACTTTACCCAAACCTGACCCCACAGCCCAGTCATTTACAGGAAGCATCTGTCCCTGGAAATAGTATTCATCCATACTTTTATAGTTTTCGTTTGCGTGAACCCTCAACTCATGATGGTTCTGTACTCTTGGAAGGCGAACTTCATAGAAAACTCGTGCACACAATGTATTTCACCACATACTTATCACAAACGTTTGATATTTCAATACATCGAACACAAATGCTGCGAAATTGCCTGACAGTCATCTCAAGTCAAACTGAGGCTACCCGTTTCATGTTGAAATCTTAAGTCCTCATTATATGAGGAGTCGAGCTTTTCGTTAGCACTACACTGTCACATATAGAGTTCGAGTGGACATCGCTCGCCAGTTGACTGCGGTTGTTGACGGTATGAAAAGATTTCATCCTGTAAGTGGAGCCAGTTTGTACTGAAAATCCCAGGAGCACTGTTCGGCTGTTGCAGCTTTATGGGAAATCATCAAGATGTGCACGCACCTCACGAAACTGTTTGCAGTTTCGGACCCTCAACCTCCCGGACTCAATCATTCAATCACCAACGGCTGAACAACCTTGTGGGTAACTCGCACTAGGACAGTTTATGGTGCCACTCATCCTTCAGCCCAGGAACCCACATCAGGTGTTCAATAATTGACTGGCTCCTCGAGTGACGAATTCTCATGTGGGTTTCACTCACTAGATTACTTTTATTCTTTCTCTGATCTACTTGTAAATTGCTGGTGGCGTGAGATTTTGGAATCTTCAGTGGAGATCGTGTCATCCCACGAGGCGGTCAGCACGTGACCGCGTGACGTGGAATCCCTGATTGAAAGATGAGTGGCGCGATATCCTGCCTAGATGAGAGTTAATCATACTGCTGATTAGCAGCTTTTGGCCGAATGGTTGGATGATCGACATACTGGTATGAAGGTGGTGTGTTGGAGACTCACGGAAGTTCACTGTCGATGATTCTCAATAAGGATGAAACAGCTGTAAAGTGTCTCTCGGCTTTTCGGTAAAGACTGGTTCCACTCACAGGAAGAAGTCTTCATCAGAACTTACCGGTGTTTGTAAAGCTGGAATACTGGACACTTACGCTGAAACTTTACCACACCAGGAATAAAAAAACTGGGCCCCAAATCCTTCTCCAAACTGATCCATCTCTTCTTCTAACATCTGTCTGTTTAAAACTTCATCCCAACGATAGCAACGACTGGCTCATTGAAAGTGGCCCCTTACGGTGTTGACAGATAGTAAGTGTTGGCAAGCTGATTAGGACGAGTTACACGGATTTAAGAGTGCGTGATCATGCCTAAAAGCAAGCTTTCTTCATAGTCCACTTGGTATATAGCAAGTCAGTGGTTCGAATTCGCACCAGGGCACTGAGATTTTTTCATTTAAATCATGGGAATCTAGCCTTTCAGAACAACATGCTTTATCGAACGAACCTTTAAATCTGTGTCACAGATTATCTGTTGTACAGACTGGCTGAACTCTTCAGATACCGTCTTGTCCAACCGCATTTGTTGTGCAAGCCTCAGTGCCTATATTTTTATATTTTAACAAAGTAGTAAATGGAGCCTAGATTGACATGAAACAGCATAGCACAGTGAAGTGTAGTGCTGTCGTAAAGTCTAGCACACCACGATATGGTTTAGTAAATAATAGTGTAATATAGTACACCATTTCGTAGCATATTTTTGCATGGCACATTTTAGTGTGGTATAGTATAATACACTACAGTATGACATAGTATAGAATAGTGCAGCAAACACAGGAAGGGATAATACACATGGTATTGTATAAGGCGAGTAGGACAGGACAGGATGAGATACTACGATAAGGTGTAACATGGCATAATGCAGCGTAGTACAGCACAGTATAGTGCCTAGCCCTGATCGCCATTGTCCATAAGAATACGTCCATGGATAAATCCCTACAATTATCCTTCCGGAAAACTGGAGCATTCTATTCAGCAGATGTTGGTTAGCGGCTGTGCAGTAGTGACGTTTGAGAAAAAATTATCGACTAGCACTCAGAAACAAGATTAAATGCCCCATCACTCATGTGTTTTTCGATAAGAAGCTACAATGACTCCTACTTATAAGAATGAACGATATCACTCCACATGGTGTCGAAAACTCTGCCACAAAACAGGTCAGCTCTGAGATTAAAAAATCACCATTGTTTCGCCTGATGTTCACTAAGTTTTTTCAGAAGGTCATTTCAATTTTCTGTCCCTTTTACTGCGGAGCTGCCGTAAGTTGACAAACGGTACGAGATGCGGGTTTCCGCGAAAAAATTCATCTGCAACATTCTTGATCATGGAAATTCTCCTCCTAAAGAAAATTTTCCTTGAAGTTAAATGTCAAGTCATTAATAGTCGTAAAGGCTGTATAACCGAATAATGAAACTGGGATATGCTACACGCTACTGAACTCACGAGGCATAGCGGTAATTTAGGCACTTCCGGAATCTCCCGTGAGAATCGCGATGCTGATGTACTTGGTAGTGATGATGAGGATGTTTGTATGTGAATACTTACTACCGGTGCTTATAGACTTTGCATACAACTCATAAGTGTTTGCGAGTGAGCACGAGCGTGCTCTTTTAGGGAACTTTCCACCCTTACCTGCTATGGTTAAAGAATAGAGGTCGTTCATTTGTTGATTTTTATATCCGAAAGTCCGGCAAAAGTTTCTATGTAGCATGTACACTGCAGACCTATGACACATTAGTTATCCATTCTGAGCCTCAGACTGGTGAAAAAAACACAGAATTTGCCGGAACCTGGCTCATTGTCGGAACGTCTGTGTTTCTGGAAAACGAACTTACTCTGCAACATCTTTTCTTGTTAGATGGGGTACTTCAGATCTCAAACGCAGCATAGTCGCTTGATCGTTAATTGCTGCACTGAGCTGACCACAGTTTATGGGTGCCAACTTTTTGGAAGTCAAGTTAGACACATTACATCCCACATTGCACTCAATTTGTTGGTCAATTCTGTTCACGATCTCTCGATTAATTCCAAACGAACCAGAACGGAATCCACAAAAATTCTTCATCAACGGTTTCGTCCCAGGCTTCGTCCCATAGCATTGAGAAAATGGTGGCATTTTATCTGCGCTGTTGTTAGAATCTAAAGAAGATGAAAAATATGTTTCGTGGCCACCATGCATTTCGCCCTCCGTTAGTGATGTTCGCACATGAACAGACAGGCAGCCGGGCCAATCCTACGTGGGTATCGATCTGATGTTTTAAAATACCTCACAAGGTATTTCCACATGAAAGTCAAGTGCCTTATTTTACAACAAAACGCATGAGTAATCCAGCGATGTTTGATGTAAACAGATCCCTTTTTTGAAACGAGCTCCCATTTGATGGTCCTAAAGAGACTGATCCAAAGGTACTGCGGTTATTTTGGAGTCTTTGAGTGTCAAGTCTGTTCTTGTTGGAATTACAGCATAAACTGAAAACAAAAGCTCCACTTGCAAGCAGTTAGGACTGAATGATCCAATGTAGTGGTTTTCTACAGAAGAAATATTGCCATCCACCATAAGGCCGTTTAAACACAAGCCGCCGCTTCACTAATAATCTCACTCCACTCTTTGTACATGCTGGCTTTCGTCCTTGTTCCAGTACACCAAACGCAAAAACACTAAATTACTGATAAGCTGTTTACGCATCGATGATACAAGGCAGGATGTGGAAACAAGGGAAAGCCTCTGAACTCAGGCAGGATAACAGTATCACACAGAACGAAGATTTCACTATTTGCGTGATCGTGAGCAATCGTGTTATGTCGGTTGCATACGGCGAAAGTATGGTAAAAACGTGCTTGCGAACCCACGATCTCATCTTCCCTGTACTGACAAGGAATCCGATGAATCCGGTGTCATCAAAGGAGTGATGTTAGGACTGCGATGACTTCTGCTTGCCTGGGAGTTACTGGCGAGGGCTTAATAGGTCGAGGTTGCGAGAATATTTCTTCATACTTTAACTGGTCGACTAGTGCTCCATGTAATTTCGCGTCCCATCGATGTTAGCAAATGATAAACAGCAATATCGCAAACGGCGTGTAATCTATCACATACAAGTCCCATCAAAATTGGGTCCTAAGCTGGTGTTGCTTCATAGCAATAATCAGCCATCACTGAAGATGAAGGTGGATTTGTTATATAGAGGGCACATTTTTTTGGAAGTTTATACGAACAACGTTCAAATTTTCTGGGCTGGTTGTGCTACTGCATTTGATTCTCTATGGAATGGTAGACAAAAAATTATGAATAAAGTAGTTCACATGCCCCACAAAATCCAGACGAATGGTGTAATCTCAATTCTGCGCATCTTAATCTTACTAGACCTCTTAGTTCGAAGCACTGTTGGGTTCTTTCTAATCGTGGTGTGGCTTGATTCGTCCACATCTTCCCCTCAAGCAAATAGCCCGATCGCTCTATCACAAATAGCATGTATATAAAACTCAGCTAACTAGATAAACACTACAATATACTAGTCCTTTGCCCGACTAATGTATCACATCGGTACCTAAAGAAACTCCACGAGTACAATGCTCAGTATGTACTACGCGCTGTGTTCTGCATGAACACCATCTAGTGGCGATATTCATGTAGAATCAAGACAACGTGTTGAAGAGGAACATTCTAAATGCCTACAAATGAACGTCCAAATTGTTCAGCAACCGAAATAGACGGGCTTATAAAAAACTCAACACCGAATCAAGAAATACGAAAAGTAGGTTGGGTCTGGTTCATGAATGCCTTAACTCAGCCAGTACTACCCAAGCCATATAAAAACATCATCACATAGGCATTGGAAATGCTTGAGGGTTCCGAAAAAGTCGAGTTCACACAAACTCTGCATATGTACCGAGAACTCCGCAGAAGCCGATTTCTTAGGACATCAGCTGTAACGACGGAGACCATCTGGTAGCCACTTAGTCGACACTAACGCTCAGGTTAACCGATCGGGTCACATACGCAATACACAAACATCGGGAAGCTCCAGTTCAGTATATTAAGTATGCGTCCAGATTCCACCATTCCTTATGGGTTTATGCGTTGGGTAGGGACGAGAATTGTCGCTTGACTATTGGCTTCAGGCTGTTCGCAGCCGACGAGTCCAAGACATACTGATGTAATAATTTGTGCTTCGTTTTATGTTGACACTGACATGCGGTTAAATGCATACCAGCATAAATTGCTCTCTATAGTTCTTCTATCTTCGGAGGATCATCCATATGGTTTTCCTCTGTGGGTTGCGGTATTTGTTTCAGTTGATTTCATTCGGTTTCTGATGGGCAATTTAGAATCGTGGATAAGCAAGTCATCCATACAGCGAATAGATCCTTCGTTTTTCTAAGCTTTTGACGCGTACGAATGTCTTGTCACGGGTTCACTAACTTCTTTCGACACTCCAAAGAACCTTCTATGAAGATGGCAATCTGCGAATGACTGAAATCCTTCACTGCGTTTCATTCATCATTCATAGTTTAGCATACGCAAATGGCTCAAAGGAACGCAGATTACAACGCAACAAAGACCACAAACGGACCATAAACTTCACGAAAACGATGCTCACAATTTGCCGATGGCGTAAAGAAGATACCAGATAATCCTCAAACGCTATTTAAACATAACCGGACAAAGAGGAAGTGTCCACTCAGCTGGGCAGTAATCTCTCCTCGTACGGTGACCAAGAGTTTGCATATCCATTTCTTGGTCAATAAACAATAATGTGTATAACTGTATATACCTAGAGTGAGACTTGAGACGCGAATAAAATAACACGTTCCCACATATTTCTTGAACTGACGGTGATGGTGATATGCGGAGATTTAATAATTTCCAATGGCGATTTTGTCCCGTCAGTGAAGCCAATTTATGCTGAAAAACCGAGAAGCCCTGTACAGCTCTTTTTTCCTTGTTACGAATCATCAGCACCGCGCATCTCACGAAGCTCAGAGTTTCGAATCCGCAACCTTCAGTCCAGTGGCTCAACACGAGCGGCTGATCGGCAGTGTGATCGCGTCACTTATCCTTAAACCATGGAAACCATATCACGTAGTCACTTGTTGATTGGCTCCTCGAGTGATCCCATCTCAGAAGGAAGTTTCGCTCATCATGTTGAATTATTCCTCCTCTGAGCTGTCGATTAATTGATGGTGGTGTGAGGAGATCTGTTATTTTAAGGACATGCACCGCTGATGAATTCCATTAGGAGCTAAATAAGACTAGAGTCCAGTGATTTTTCCGGTTGGTGTGGATAACCAGAACAGCATGACAGAAGCAGAGTTAGATAGGCAGGTATGGATTCAAGCCAGACCAGTTTATACGAAATTTCACTTCAGTCATGTTCATTGGCTAATAGAGATTTGCCGTGGATTTTGAGTTTTCTTGTTTAGAGGTATACGTAAGGTAACAAAGGATGCAAGTGAAGCGGTTTACTACACTGCGCAGTCACCCTGACCTTTATCCAGACATTTGGATCTTATCGTAAGTTGCTTCCGAAATAACACGTAAACTGCTCATATAAAATGTCCCAATGTACCGTGAAAAATGAACGAACTGGACGGAAATTGTATTCTCCACCATGACCGGATTATATAAGTGATGTCACGGTCAAAGCAATGAAGCTTGGGCAAAATTAATTCAGAAAGAATCCACGCTGGTTTGCTGCAGCCAGCAAGTGTTTCTTCATTTCAGTCACCGAACGATATTCCGGTAACTTCAAATAATGCATGCAAGTGTTCACGCTGGGAAAAGGGCCACAAGTTGTTCCGTCTTTTCGGGCCACCTGTCCGAACAATCAGATGGAAAGCAAGTTACGAGCAGGAAACAATCTATTGGATATGAGAGAAAACGTGCAATCCATGGATTCAGCAAGATTAGGATGGTCCTATATAACAACGGATCAAAAACGATTTGAAACAGTCGACGAAATAGACTGTTGACTGTCGAAAGGCACAAAACATTTCATTAAAAACCGGTCCTTTATCTACTCACTTTCAGTCTTGGATGCAAATTCCGCCAACCCCCCGGAGGTAAAGTGGGACACCCGGTAACAAAACGAAGGAAAGCGCGGCGCTCAGAAACATCAAAGCTAGAAATTGATTCGATGAACATACGAAATCCGCTTGACTGTCGCGTGTATCCAGCTGCTGGCTCACAATTAGTCCATATCTCCTGGGGAGTCCATTCAGGGCAAGACTCACCGAAAATCAAGCGTCCAAGTTCATACGGCGTGAACGTGGCCAGTGAAGCGAGCGGTAAAACGCGCTCGAAACCAGCTGCATAGGACAGAACAGAGGCCCTGAATAAGGAGACACTATGCCGCGACGTGAATCAGCAATAAACTAGGATGCTCCCAAAGCATCGCACCCCTTTCTATTACTTCTTTTTTTGAAACGGCTTATTGTATTTTTGATCCCTTCTGACAGCCCCACATTGTTTTACCTCTACTCATAGAAGACATAAGGGTATGAAAGGAATACTTATGCAATATTCATTTATTGTTCACTGGTGTTACACGCTCACAAAGAGATGGATTGCCGATGGCTCTCCATTCTATCCCACATCGGCTGACATTTGTATGTGTAAGGCTGAATAGTATGTTTTTCGTTAGGTGACCGACCAGTTAACACTTTGTCTTCGGTATGTTGAAGATATCCGAAAGATTTTGAACTCAGCACATGATACATTTATTTTCGACCCAGTGGTCTAGTGGTGGCTTCCACTTTTTCTGATGTCGTGTTAACCACACAAACCAGACGGAACAATACAGGGAGGAGTATTCTGCGAAGTAAATCGGTCTGGTGATAAAGTTAAATACTATTAAAATACCCGAAATACCTTCCTTGAGTAACTAAAGATGAGGGCCTGATGGGGAGTAGCTACCCAGTGAGGTTTGCATGTAAAATCTGAGCCGTCCTGATAGGACAATATTTCAAAAAAATGTTTTGTTGATTCCTTACACGAATCAACATTTTCGAACTTTACGGTATCTAAGGCTACTGAATTCCCCAAGCTTTTTATTATATTACTGTTGCCGTTCTTGTATTCTATCCAATACGACTTGGACAGTAAACCGCTTCATCATAACTCGCGGTCATCGCTTACTGTCATGCTTGCTCAACATTGTTTATGTTTGCTGCCGTGGTGACTGAGTGACCTCTGAAGGGGAAGTCAGTTTTGACAGGAAGTGAACGTGGATGACGAGGACGGATCTCAGAGCCACGTGACCACTCAGCACGCGCCCAGGTCGTTCCATTCGGTATGTGATTGACCCATCATTGCATCTAGCTTGTACAGTCCATACACACGGGTGCGACATGGCCGACATGGCACGAACTTATAACGGAGACGTGTTGCGGTACGGTAGGAACCTGCTTCTGCAACCTTTTTGTCAGTCCGATACGTTTACGTTAGTTCAGTTGTTTTTCCCCAATAGCCTGACGGTCCTCACGGACATTTTCTGATCACTGCTTCCTTTGTATACTGTTTCGTTTGTTCTGCATGTTCATTTAATCTGCTGACTGCCAGTCTACTGGTAAGTCACTAGAGGCCGCCAAAGTGCCTGCAATGACTGTCCTCTACAGCTCTCCGTTTGCTGTTACTGATCGTGCGTTCCCATTTATTCTGATACGTTTTGGGATGAGAACGTGGTTCCGACTGCCCTATCTGCTGCTTGCCACAGTCCTGCTCTCTATATCAGCACTGATGTATCTGGTGCCATATGTCTCATATACAGATGTCACTACCGACGTTGACTCCGAGTCTGTGTAAGGTCCAACAGCAGCGAAAACCGGCTCTGTGCAGTCCGTCAATGCCCCGGATACTACAGGTTTGGCTCCCAGACAACCTGTCTGCACGCACTTGCCTTTTATGAGCAACAGAATGTCCATATGTCCCAAGTTGTAAGGAAGCTGAGTTCCGAAGAAAGACAGCATCCGAAGATTCACTTCACCGGCACCTGTAGGCTCCAGACAAAATCTCGTTTTTTCAATGTCGACCTGTTCAGTTGTTCGTGATTTTTCCGAAAACTCTGGGTCGTTCTGCTCGGCATATATCCCAAAGATTAGTGGGGCACCCCTGAACTAGAAGCGGACAGTGTAAACACACTACCAGGAAACTGTAACTTGATTTATATGACCCACGGATTCAACCTGACCGAAGAGTTCAGCTTGATCAGTCGAAAAAGGCACATCCCAAAAAAGGCTGTTGTGCTCGATTAACATCAATCATCATCCTGTCATCAAAAAGTTGTTGAATTTACCTTGGTCAATCAGCGACCACCCTTTTAAAGAGAATCATTAGAGTGCCGGTAATTCCTGAGTTTTTAACAGATAGCTGTTCACTTGTTATCCCATCAACATCTTAATTCGGTGACATTTATTACTCTGATGGCTATTTTTCGGAAACCATTGATCGCGGTCCCGGATTCTCATGGGAACTTTATAATACTAAGATATATATTTTGGAAACTGAAAATCACTCGACCTACTGAGAATGTTAACATAAACTGAACCGTATCTAAGTCATCTGAAAAACAGGCTTCAGCACATGTCTAGAGTTATAGACAACTAGCTCATCAGGTGACCGGAGGAAAAACAAATTTACCTTTGAATGCGCACATTTGTCTTCGTATTCCCTTATGCAGAGCAAATTCCACTGAGCGTCTGATGAATTGTTCAGCTGTGGCTGACGTTAGAAACTCTTCAGAAGTTGGTACGTCGTCAGCGTTTCCCAGAAATGTTGGATCGTATGCACTTGTCAGTTGGAATTCCATCTGTCCGAATTTCTGGTTGAGAAAATGGAAAGGATATGCCAGAAAAATATTTCACTGCAGTGGTTCGTCAAGGTAACTTGCCCAAAAGTCATGGGTCTGTGGTTCCGACTGACAAAACGGTCTCGTATCCACGGTCAAAGAAAAAAATTGTTATTGCTAATTTTGGTGGAATAGTGTTCGCTACAAATGACTCTCAGTAACTGTTGAGGATAAATCAGGATGCTTACAGGTTACAAACCTTATTTTGAGATGGATTGCCCCAGATTTACCTCACTTTGTAACGCATTCCTCGACATCATTTAGTTAGGAGTCTTTTGTTGCTGATTGCATTTTTCCAGAGTCCTTCAAAAGTCTCATCCTATGTCAGTTTGGACAAGTAGTTAAAAATTCTCAGTCCCGTCATAGTGAAAATGAGGCCGGATCGAGAACACCTCGAGCACAGGAACTCTCTCCCCTGTACTGGAAGTGACTAGGCGAATTTTTTGTGCTACCGGCCCTGAAAAAAAAGACTTGAGGTTGCCAGGCTATCATGGAAGTGACTAGGCGAATTTTTTGTGCTATCGGCCCTGAAAAAAAGGACTTGAGGTTGCCAGGCTATCCAGCATCCAGTCCAACCATTATTTATAAATATGTAGTTAAATTCTAATCCCAGAGCTTGGTCCTTGCCAGGTCCGACGTAGGCAGGGACGATAAGTCACACAGAAAAACGGAACAGTCATGTCCTACTCTTCTGAAGGGACGATAAGTCACACAGAAAAACTGAACAGTCACCAACAGTCAAACTCTTCTGACGATTGATACCCTTTAAAGACGGACTTTCAAGTCACCTCCCCCAAAACTCTCGGGAATCTCCGCTCATCGTTTAAGACTAGGATTTCCTTTAGGTTTTCTACCCGACATGGAACACTACACCGTAGAATCATGACTTTTCAATTAAACCTCTATCGCCTTCAGTTGTTTGAATGCACACGATTCTTGCAGAAGATAAATACTTCCACACCCTGTCATTATTAGAATAAGACACATTCTCTGTTATCCATCTTCAGCCTAACCGGACAGACCATTTTTCGGTGGTAAGGAAGGTCTAAGACTCATATAACCCTAGCAGCAAGTGACCGTCTTGCTGGCTTGATCACCAGTGATGACAAAAAGGTTATCTTTCTCTGCTGCTAGTAAACGTAAGAAACAATATCCTTAGGTATACATCAGATACGCGGTCTTGTTCACCTTTCGTAGCCGTACAACATATGCAACTGTATTTCGGCCAACTAAATCCAGTGAGAATTGTGCAATACAGTTGTTCAATGGACAGATGGTCTTTAGGACCTGTAGCGGGCCGCCGTCAGTAGAATCACAATGCACACAGTCGGACAAGCAACGTTGAGTACATCAAATGAAAAATCTCACATCTACCCATTTGGAAAACCACAAAACTTAATCAATTTTACGGTCAAATGAATTGTAGGTATGGGAAGGACGAAAAAACAGGTCCAGATCGTAATCAAGCAGACTGGAGTGCCGATAACAAAATCTTGTCAGAGTTGCCCGTGCACAGCCAACGGTCAACACAGACCACCTACTATGTCTTGATTCGATCCTCCAACCCCATCTTAGCATTTTTCCACAAGCAATTTTTTCTGACACAATTAAAAGGAGAAAAAGGCTTCAGTTTTTCTATCTTCTAGTATTCCACTTAAAGGGATTGTTGAAAATCCGCACAAAAGATATGTTCGAATAAACAAAAGGATGTAGTTCCTACGGTATGAAGTCAGAACACTACAAATGGAGCGGGTAAGACTCACACGAGTTGCCGGGGCGAATGACATGCTTATACACAGTGCTTCCAACTCGGCGGAAAATAGGCGCCTTTGAATATCCAAATCAGCAGCTTCAAGCTCCTCCGGTGTCAATTGGTTGCTGAGTAATCTTCGTTCTTGTATATATGATATCAGCGTCTTAAGAAACTTTCCTCGCTCTGGATAGATGTCAACAAAGTCATTCAAATCAAGAACGTCTCCAGGCCACTCTTTCCTTGCTTGATCAGTCTTCGGCACAGGCGTCAGACGTGCGTTAAATTCGCACAACAGAGTAAGAAAGGCATTGGAAAATGGAAGATCCATCTGTCGTTGATCCTGTTCGAAGAGACCATAATTAAGACTTCGGTGAAAAAATAACAAAAGAAAGTAAGATCAAGCCCTAACCTATACTCCTGTTCCTCACTACTACCAAACAATTCGAGGGCCTCAGCTGAGCTGGCTAACCAACCTGATTCCAAAGGAACTTACATCCGAACATTAGCAAGGTTATCCCATCTATGGCTGTGTCCCCATATCCAACCGTATAATGTCAATGGGCATAGGAATTCGTTGGAGAGGAAGCGATAACTCCCGAGATTCTCTACACCACCAAGTATTTTTATCAACTTCACACAAGGATCAGGTGCTTAAGACTGGCTACCAACTGTACTCTGTGGACCGAATGATTCTACGTCTGTAAGCAATTGTCACTCAGCTGGTACCTTCGGTGCACGAATGTTGAGTGGTTCTGGCCGGCC